TTTAGACACCAGCGATCTCCTGGTGAAATCAGGCAAGATTTTTGGCTGATGTGTTCTTGCTCTACCATGAGCTGAGAAGCAGCATGGGAAGCTTGTCTCCTGCACAAGCCTGGACCAGCTGCAGCCTGGAGAGGACAACCACTGGCAGCACTGGCAGCCGCTGGCAAGAAGTTGCCTTCCAGGGTCAGCAGTGGCAACAGAGATGGGACTTGGACATCTCAAGACCCATTTAGGCTGCCATCAGTGCAGGCACTGCAGAGGGACAGGGGCTATCCTGACAACTCCTGGCTAGAGTGAAGCATACCAGGGATAAACCCCAGAGCCTACTTGTAAAGGGCCCCATTTCATGCTCTTGCTATCAGACTCCTGCTTGCCTTGTTGACTGGAGTTTTCATCGTGGAAGAGAAGTTTACTGGGGTTGCAGGGCGGAGAGGGCAATCAGTAAGGTGGGGGTGGAGGGAACGGGCTTTTCAGACATTAACATCACAAAAAATAGTGTTTTATGCAACAAAGAATCAAGTCTCACTGGTGTATACTACAAAATGTTTGACATTATCCAAGAGCATGTCAAAAATAAAAACACAAAGAAGTTTACATTGGATGTTTTTCTTGTTCACTATGTTGGTTTTCCCCCCCCTCCTATTTTAAAACAGTGCAAACAGGTAAAACACTTTAAAAATCACCCCTCTGCACCAAGGACAGCATTCCCCCACCCTGCCAGGCTGGAGGGTCACAGGCAGCAGGTCCTCTGCCATGCTGCCTGTGCGCTTTCCCTTTGGAGCTAGACTCAGCAAAAGCGCTCCCCAGAGCTGTTGTTTGAGTTTCCCTTTATTAAATTCCTAAGTGCTCCCCAAACCTGTTCTCCACTTGCCTCCATCTTCACGGCCAGGATGGGAAGATACAGATAGGGATGGGCTAGGGAAAAACATGGGTAGAACTGGGAGGCTCTGCTTTGTATTTCCCGCTGATGGAGCTCTGGGTGCTGGAATTGAAAGCCCAGCAGCCAGTGTCTCTTTTCAGGCAGGGAAATGGCTTCATTAACCATTCCACAACTAGCACTTGAGCCAGCTATTCAGAAAAACCTCCTCAGCTCTTGCTGTGCACTTCGCATCCACAGATGTCTCAAAACAGGTAAGAACAGGGGGTAAACTTCAACTTCACTTTAGGGACGGGGAAGCGAAGTCTAACGTAGCAACACAACTGCTCCACGGTGGCCCTTGAGGATCACTGACAGAGCCCTGCCCAAAACACAGGTCTCAGACTCCAGAGCTGTCACTCTTTCTTGCTGGGCAAGTCTGCTCCCTCTCAGGCACTGAAACAGCCAAGCCACAGCTATCTTTAAACATGGCTTTGTCTATCTGAACTCATGACACAAGATCCACATAACTGCTTAACCTGGGAAAAGCTGGCTATAGCAGGCTCATACTGAGCTCCCCATTGCCTCCAGGTCCTGTCATGGCTTTTCTTAGAAAAGCTAACCCACCTACAACAGAGCAGCCTCCCAAACATGGGGACAGGGATAACAGTTTGCTAATGTGCTGGGCACCAATACAACTTATTCCCAGTTGAGAATATGCTATACCAGTAGAAGTCATCTTTGTACCAGCACAACTGTACCCACAATGAAATACAGACCAGCACATTAAATAAATCAACTCTTCAAACCAAAATTTTATCAGTATATCATCATGTGCTGGCCAGACCTATTGCAAGACAGTACAAACAGCTACACTTAAAGAAACATTTTTATTCTGCATCAAGAGGAATCCCAGATGCCACCAGGCTAGAAGGTGACAAACAGCAAGCTATTTGCCATGCTGCCTGTGTGGTTTCCCTCAGAAAGCCAAACCCTGCTTTGCAAGGGACCTGTGATTGCAGACCCATCACAGGGGCAAGCACTAGCTGCCATCATTCAAATAAGCCAGGGCCCAGTTTAATTTATTAAACGTAATTCATTTTGCATAGGGAGATATAGGCTTTGTCCTCACTTCTTCAGAAGATGGATATAGCCACAGCTTGGCTACTCTGAAAGCATCTCTAGCCAGTTTATAACACATCAGAGCGAAACCAGAGCTGTTGTTCGCCAACAGGGAAGAAAGGCTGAAGAGCTCTCCTGTCATGGCACAACACTCATTCGAGAAACCTTGCTGCAAAATTCCAGCTGGCATGCAAGTTTTTGGGAGGTCCGGTGCTCCGGACACCTAGAACCAGTGAGCTACTTCTGGCCCCCAGCCATGCAAGTGTCCCAGTGTCCCCTCTGCGGTTCACTGCTGAGAGCAGGAAGCTGGGCTATCAGCAAGCTCCCTTAGCAGGGATCTGGCAGCACTAACTATGGAGTCATGGAGACACTGGCTGGTTAACACACCAGAGGATCCTGGCAGGGAGTGACCAGAGCAGACCAGGCTCAGGTACAAGAGGAATCAGGCTGGATGGTCTTAGAGCAGGTATTACTCGGAGATCAGGGGACCACAGCCCCACAAAGGTTGGGTGCTTCTGCACTAACCCCCTCACATTCCTAAAATATACTCGGGCGGGCTGAAGCTGCCATGCATAGACTCTGCTCGGAGGCAGAAATGGGGCTGGCCTCCCTACTTCCAGAGAGGCCAAGTGGCAGGCGGGGATTGCAGGCAGCACTGCCGGGGCAGGGGAGGGCACTCAGGGAGGGAGAACCCGGCTTTTCAGGAGCCGCAGTCAGAACCAGCTGAACTGAACGCAGGAGAGGGGCAGCGGGAGGGGAGGGGGGCAGCGCCCCCAGGGGTGCTCTGCAAGCTGCGCTCCTCTGCCCACAGCCTGCAGACCTGCTGCCTGAGGAACTGCCTGGGGGCATGGGAAGGGATGGCCTCACTCAGGCCCTCCATTTACAGCGGTAGAACAAGTCCAGTAGAGGCTTTTGCTGCATCCCAGCTCCTCAAGTACCCCGGCTGCCCTTCAGTGGAAATGGCTCCCCTTGAAAATAACTATTTGTACCACAAGTCCTCCCTCTTCTACCCCAACTCAGGCAGTAAAAGCCCCCAAACACTCCGAGTCCCTCTCATTTCCTAGATTTTGTGAAAGCCCCAACACCCTGTTCCCCCCCCTCCCCATTTTCAAGCTAAAATATTTATATACAAACAACAAAAAAATTGTCATAACAGCAACAAACCAAACTTTGGCTTGGGGGAAAAAAAAGTAAAAAAACCAACAATAAAACCAGAAAAAAAAGTGGCCAACAGGCTGGCAGTTTGGTGTCCTCTTTATCTGTCTATTCCTCCATAGAATCGCTTCAGCATCTCTAGCTTAACTAATGGCTTCCCCATTCTTCCCATTAGAGGTGCTGTGCACAGAGAGGCTCCATGTGTCACTGGGGAAGAGCTAAAAACATGTGTGGTTGCATGTGGCTGGGCCAGGACACCTCCCCAGGAGCGGAACCTCCACTTGGTGATGTTGCTTAGTGTTAAATGCAGGAAGTTTCCTATTCTGTATCAGTGGTGGATGGAGAAGCACGTGTACAACAGGAGTTGGAAAGGGTTCACCAACAAACCCACACTCCAAGCCGCCCTTCTGGGGGCAGTGGCTCACCCCAGCACCAACTGATGGAGTCGAGGCAGCCTAATAAAATTAGGGTTCTGCACCTCTCTACCAGGTGGTGAGCCCTGCCTCTAACCACTGGGGTTACTGGGAGCACTCCAAGAGCCAGCAGCTGAGCAGGGAGGTCTGGAGAGCCAGCAACTCCCCATCACACCACAGCTCACACTGTCATCTAAATGTGCTATCTTTGAAACACAGCGAATTTGATGTATGTGGGAGCAGAAGGGAGATGGTCTTGGGAGTTGTGGAGCCTTCTGCTAAATAGTCTCTATGCTTCTTCTAATATGTAGTGTCTATATGGACTCAGCAGACCAGGTGCACAACTTTCTACGAGAGGCTGGGCAAAACAAACCCAGGGGCTCCAATGCAGCTATGTAAGGGCCTGACATAGCTTGTGGTAGGAAGTTCCTATGAACTCAGAGCTTGCACAAACTGCTTCTGCCAGAAACAAAACCACTTCAGGATCACATTTAGATATAAAAGATCCTCTTCCCCCACACAAACCCACATGCTTGTCCCTCACCTCAAGTAGCTTATACATGACTGTTTTTACCTTACTCATGTTGTTTGCAATAGATTACTTGCAGAAGCACCTAAGCAGCTCAGGATGAACAGGAGCAGAGACCTTGCACGCTGGGCCTCAGAGCATCTGCCATGCTCGACTCTTCTGCTAAATTTCTTCCTCTGCAAGGCTGCATGTGCTTCACCTCTGCAAGTTTAACCACTTGCTGTCCGCAGCAGAGGTACTCTGCCTGATCCTGCACTGCATCTGCCACTTCTCGAGGAACGGGACAGCAAGGGAGAAAGATCTTGAAAAGGAGGAATGAAAACTAAGATAATTATAGCCACCAGCAATGGACAATGATCAGCTAGTAAAAGTTCTGTGTGTGGGGGAAAGGTCATCCTCATCAAAAACTTCTTCCAAAGTCTTGTCCCCTATACAGCAGATAACAGCAGAAGTCTTAGAGCAGGTTGAGGGACTCTTCTCTTGTGAAGTCTAAAATTCTGACACTGCTGAAGCTGTCCCAAACCTGTGCACGTCAGATGATGGCAGGAACGAGGAAAGTCTCTGCATTTCCCCCATTTCCAAATGTAAATGACTATTTCCCACCAGCATTTAGGTCCCAGCCGCAGCCAAAGAGTGCTTCCTTCTGCAGACCAGAAACACGGCAGGTGGAGACTTCTCCCTCACGTCCTTCTGTCTCACAGGCACCAAGCACCAGACCAGGGAAGTAACTCTGTCTGCGTGTTCCTGATTAATTGCATGATATCAGTTTCTAACCGCTTTCCTTATCACTAATTGCCTTTTCCGTGATTGGTAGGATAAGCTATGCACCAACATACAGACACGGAAATGCATTATTTTTACCACAGTTTAAAAAAAAAAAAAAAGACAAAAAAAAAAAAAAGCACAATCTTTGGAACAAAAGAATTAAAGGCAGAAATTTAAAGGAAAAAAAATACATATTCAAAGAACATAGTGAGGTATAAAAAAGTATTTTCTCTTTTGTTTTTTTGTTTTTCCTCCTCAACTTGCTATAGAGTTCCTCTACTAGTAAATATTGCAATAGCCAGGCCTCATGACTTGGGGGGCTGTCCCACTTGCAGGGGGCTCACGTCACTTCAGTAGGGGGCAAATCGGCTGTAGCCACCTCGGTATAAACTCGCCTGTAGAAATGAAACGGGAGAAGAAAAGGCTGTTAGGAGAACTGTGAAGTGATATCTAGGACAGTGCCCAAATGCTTTTGGAAGGACCAATGGACCTGTCCTGGCACTGGCCCACCACCATCAGCACCTCTAAGAAGCAAGAGAGAACTCTGTCTGCAAATCCAAAGACGTGGCTCAGGAGAACATGCTCATGGCCAGCCAAGCTGGAGGTGAAGTTTGGCAAGTCTTAGTGGAAGGGAGCTCAGTACCAGAGAGGGGATTCACGAGTCCTAATCTCAAGCTACATTTTTAGGCTGCCTTTATAGATAGATAGCAGACACCAAGACTTCTAGGATGCTCTTTACCTCACCTTAGGGTGATATGATGACCAGGTACCCTAGAATCACCTGCTTTTCCCTCACTGACCCTAAAAAGAATCCACATGATGAGCTGAGGCTGAAACAGAGGTGTTACACTGCAGTTATCTATTTTTAGGTGTCTTTTTCTCTGAACACATTTGTATTCCAGCCTCTGCAACAACTTAGCTACTGCGCTGGCTAGCAGATGGGCAAGCGTGTGTTTTCACCAAGCTGCTCCACTCGTCTCTGATGCCAGCATACCTCATTCCTACCCTTGCATAACTACTGCTGGCAGGCAGGACACCGCATCCTTCCACTAGTGGAAGAGGGAACCAAGTGAAGCAGCTTTGCTGCAAGATGTCACAAGAACAACTTATTCCCTTGCTTCCTACAATGGAAAATGGCACAAAAGGGCATCTTGAATCTCAAACTATTGCTGATTTTTGCTCTATGTATCACTTTGATACAGTTCTACTGATTCACCAGCAGTGTTCTGGCTCCTGGCACTTCTGGTCAGTTTTAATTTTCATTTTTTATTGTACTAGCTGATGTGCAAGACCAAGTAATAACTGGCCTCCTACAACCTGGTTCGTTTCTTAATGCACACACACATATGAATGCAGAACAACTGGGAACCCAGCACTGCAGCTAAGGACCTCCTCCCTCAAAGTCTTTCTGGGTGAAGTTTCATTGCCTTGTACCCAGTGAACAGCTGTTCCCCACGCTGGAAATGAGAAACAGCACAAGAAAGAAAATCCCACTTACCACAGCGCCAACTCCGTAGCTAGCGGCAGGGGCAAGGGCATGGTAAGGATCTGCTGTGTACACCCTGCCATAACTGAAGAGAGGGAGAAAAGATATAAAAAGAAAAAAGTCACTCGGGAGGGGCAGAGAAATAGCTGTCTGACCACAGGTAATGGAAGAAGCAGCATGCCCTTCCACACACATGTATGCACACATGCACACACAGGCACGCAGGCAGCCTCTCTGTGAAGAGAACCAATGGGCATGCTGCCATGCATCAGTATGAGATGGGCAAGAGAACGGCCTGCATGGAGGGATATGGTAGAAGCCATGAGCTTGACCTGTAGGGAAGACGTCATCGCCTTTGAAATGACAGCTAGTATATCCCTTACCTCACGTGATGCAATTTGGGAGGAGAGTGACTGCTGGCGCTAGCGCTACTGGCACGGTAACAGCTGCTACATGGAAAGCAGTGAGGGATTCTCCATAATGAAAAGAGAGCATAAACTTTAATGGTCTCGCATGTGCTAGGATTAAAACACGGCCTCACTGCACAGGAGATGAAAAATCTTAAGGCAAGCACTCTGATGATGACAATCCTTTGTATCTATTCAGAGCTGCATGTTACAGCATCCTAGAGCACTGCATGAGCTGAGTCATTTTTACTTTATGGATGGGGAAAGAAACGCACCCAGTGATTAAGCAACCTGCCCAGAGTCACAGAGCAAGGAAAGCCAGATCTCTGACTCTGAGGCTGTAACCGCACTGCCTCCTTTGTGCAGAGAATCACAAGGATAGGGAAGAGGCTAGGATTTGTGCCAGCTCACATACACCGGAGTGCAATACTGTCTGGGAGTAGAGACAAACCGTGCATTCAAGTCTTTCGTGTTGGGTTGTCCATGCATGTGTGCGCATGCGAGTGCAAGAAAGACCAAAAAATGGGGGAAAGAAGTAGAAGTTCTGTAATGGATCGATGCTCCTTGAATCCCTGAGCACAGCAAGCTAACCCCCATGGACACCTGTCCCTTACATACCCATCGCTGTAAGCTGCTGCAGCGGCTGCAGCGGCCGTGGCTGCTGTTGCAGTAGCAGGCTGTGCATATCTGTAGGCTGCGTATCCACCCTGCAGGAGAGAAGAGAACTGACTTTACAGATACCTGTCCACCCACGCAGAGCATAAAAAAAAAAAATTTAAATAAAAGTCACACACATCACAAGGAGAGGAAGTATTTCAAACTGCATCAGCTCCCATGTCTTGTCTATCACAAGCATCACCCATTAACTCATGTAATATTCCTTTCCTTAGAGGGACCAGGGAGGCTCTTCCACTACTCTGTTTAGCAGAAAAAATATACTGAAGAAGACTAAGCATGGTTATAACCCTGCAGAAAATGCACTTTGGCATGGAGGAACTGAAAACCAGAACAGACCTGAAATCTTGCATGTAACGTAATTTTAATGGTCCCTTCCTCTTAAGCTGGAGAAATTAGAGGTGGACACTTTCTGTGAAGTGTGTATTTTAGAAAGGGGACCGTTAAGAGAAATTCCTGCATTTATTTATTATTATTTTTTACCTCTCTTTTTTTAAGCCTGGAAAACACAAAAGACTAGAATTTAATTTAGTCCACATGTGCAAAAGTACCAATAGTCAGAGAAGCAAAAGAACAGTGGAAAAGACGGTCAGAGAAGACAGTCCCTAGTGGGTTCAGGGCTGTCAACAAGCAAACTGACAAGGAAGCCAATCAGACTGTCCTACCTTCCCCTCCGTATGAAAAGGACATAGGTCAAGGGAAATTATTCCAGAGCAGTCTGTACTGCTGCTGCTTTTCTGCCCGTGCTACACACTGTAGCAAAGGGGCTTACACTGAGCAGAGGTAGTTACTAAACATGTGCTTACAGCTGTGTTGGCAAAACATGAATCCTGACTCAGAGAAAGACCTGTGAGTCTTCTCCTGGAGCTCCCACAAGGAGCTTCTGGGGCAGAGCAAGGTTTGGCCCAGGCTCTGCACACCCTGCAGTACTGAAGGGTCAAGGCCAGCCACCTTTCAGACCAGGGGCAAAGGTGGCACAGCAGGAAGCAAAGGGGACTCTGAAGCCCTGGCTAGGTCTTTCCTTACTGGACACTTCTGAACACATTTTTGTTAACTTACAGGGGAAGGGGGAATGGTAAATGAACCATGGCTTTGACTTGTTTGAAACACAATGAGCCATTAAAAAAAAAAAAAATCAGAAAATTCCAGATGGTTTCTGGTCTTTTCTTTTTTTCTTCCAAATGACATTTCAGGTTTTGAAGGAGCAGAAGGCAGAGTTATGCTCTTCACCTCCAGAATCAGCTCAACATACCTCTACCACTTATATATCCTTTGCACATATGTAACTAAGAGTATGGGATCAGCTCTACCACAGAACTGTGTTTGCTCAGCAGTGCTCAGTTTGGGGCTAGGTAGCTTTTAAATTAGAAGTAATGATTTTAAACTAATTTTGGTTGCTTTTGTGGGGCCCGCGTTAGTCCCATGGAGGCTAACATGCTATCGAAAACATGTTTGCAGACCCTTTCCTACTCCAGAGGAGAGGGACCTGCAGCCTCTTCAATTTTCTAGTTAACAGAAGAAAAAGTAACCCATATCTACACCCGTGAAACATCACCACATGACCTGGAAGAGGTGTCACGTTGCAGTTTTGCCCTTTTAATCTCACTTGGCTGTTTCAAACTCTGCATTGTGGATTGATGGTTTGGGGATCCTTAGCTTGGTTTTGTCATGGTATCACTGCACCATTATTTCCACCTCCAAAACATGATGGAGGCAACCGCAATGAGGTGCAGCCTTAATCCAAACCAAACCTTCAGCAATCTCACCAAATTAAAACAAGACTTCATATCATTGTTCTTGAGTTATTCCCTTAGGTTTATCAGCTTCCTGAACCCTTGATCTGTTAGTTGGGCACAGCTAAGAGGCACTTTCTCCTGGCACCACCCTCTGCAGGGCAGCTGACTTCAGCATGCACCCTGATTCCCACCCTGCCCCACACTTGCCAGTCACATTTCTGATCAGAAGCCACTTCAAATGTGCCTGGTACATACTCTGAACATGACAGCAAGATGCAGTTTGAAACCAAAAAGGCTTATCATGTAATTATCTTTTAACTCATGTCTCTCATAAAGGAAAACGAAACAAAAACAAACCAAAACAAAACAAAAAAAAAAAAAGAAGAAGAAGAAAAGAAGGGTTGGAATCAGGTGTGTGGGGGGAATGGCGTAACATTTATTAATCAAAATTAAAAACTAAGCATGCTGACATCTGGAGCTAGAACAACCAGCAAAGTCACCACGTTCAGACTCATATTGGCTAGTTCTATCCATCCCAGCATTCTCTTGGGACAGCAGTTCGCCCTAGGCTCTACCACAAGCTCAGTGAAGTACACAGCCTCAAGTACTAGAGCGTGCAGCCACAACAACCTGCTATTACGGAAACAGTCAGTCACCACTGGAGTTAACATTCCAACCTTAACGACTCCCGCAGCCTCCCGCCCTCGCCCCCCAAAATGGCTCCCACCCTAGCCCTGTCCCACACCACAATGTTAATAATTATAACAAGCAATAACCCATCTGTTATATCAGAGAAGGGAACAGAGACTCCACTGAGAGATTTAGAGCGGGATGTTAACATTTCTTCAGTCAACTGCACAACAAACAAAAAGAAAAAAAAAAAAAACAGGAGAAATAATTCATTGGAGAAATGAAGTTAAGAAATAGCTGACGTGTATTGCTTTTTAACCATGCACTGATGCAAAATTGAAGCTACTGGTTATTTAAAAAAGGAAAAAAACAAAAAAATCTCAGGATAGAGGTACACACGTACAGGCAGACCTGCTCAGTTCAAAGCGATCTGCAAAGTCTACTTATGTGTACTTCAAATAAAACCAAAAATGGGGATTATAATGGCCATGGTGCATTCCTGTCATAGGAGCAATGAGTGGGGACAGCTGGGAGATTTCTGACACAGGGATGTATTTAGCATGACCAGCAGGTCCAAATACACCAAAACAGGGTGAAAGAAAGAGGAGGAACTATTGCAACTATTATTCATTATTTCATAAATCCTTTCACCAAGCTCTGGGACCTGTACAGAGCAAAGCAGACACTGTACAGGTTGCCTCATCCAGCTGATGCTCCTGTTCTCCATAACCCAGTGCCCACCTACATAATTCCATAAATTCCATCTAAAGCCCTGCTCAGTTTGTCCAATGCACCAGATATTTTCTCCTGCTATTCCTGTTCACATAGAACTTTTAACTGATATGCAGAGCTCATCTGTAACCTCAGCTGCATAGTCCTAAAACCCCTAGTGATTTCTGGTGCCACTCACTTCAGGTACTCCAGTAAATATAAACTATAACAGAGTAGAGCATCTGCAATAAAGAGGACTAATCACGTTTACCAATTAAATAAATAATTATTAAAAAAAAAAAAAAAGGCCCTTGCTAGCTTCACCACATTCCTCCAGTGTCACACAGCCAAACTGCAATAGAAGACACCACTGAGTGACAGAGTGCCTGAAACCCAGGACAGCCATGCAAACTCCCACTCCAATCTATTTGATTCCACAGGGACAGGTTGCCCACCTAGGTTCAGTTTTTTAAAATCTTTAGCCTCATCTCAAAAGAGATGAGTCTGTCTGAGCTGCTTGCAAAGATGTTAAGTCAGAGACTTTTCCATTACTGGGACAGTTTAATCACTGCCTACACAAGGAAACAGGAACTAATGAGAAGGGTTATGCATTTTTACTGGGCAGTAACAACCAAAAGGACTGTGTAAATCAAGATTATACAGGCTTTTGGATTTTCTGGGGAACATGTGAGAGAGGAACACAAGCCTAGATGTTACTTATATTAATTCAAAGTTCTCTTTCTCTGGCTATCTGGCCAGTGTTGCTGGGACTATGCTGAACCCTTTCCCCATGTAGCACTTGGGCCTTCAGACTTCAACTGCCTGTATTAGTCGGGTATTCACAAAAGCCCAAATTTAAAATGACTCTTCTGCAATGTTACTGTCCTTGGTTCATCAACAAAGCAATTTTTTTTTAAAATTCCTTCTTTAATGTTAGATGACAGCTTTTTCAGTACTGTCTTATATTCTCTGAAATAATACAAACATGGAAGAACAACATACACAGGAAGCTGCAATCCCAACTAAAGCAGCATTCCAATTACTGAGGATGTTAATGTAAATAAATGAGCACAATGCAATTCAGCTCAAAATAAGTCCATCTTCTCTTCCACTCCTCAGGTCCATATTAGGTGATCAATCCAAAGAGAGCGGGAGGAAATCCAACACTACAGCTTACTATGCCAGTGTATCCTATGGTATAAGCCTCCCTTTTTTGTTTCTTTTCCCTTCCTGCCTTAGACAGGCACACAAAGTATGTTGCTGGCCCTCTTTACTTCAAAGAGCCTTAATACCCCTAAGGCACAAGCATACACATAACCCTGGAGAAATGTGTAACTCATGGTACCAGTCAGATACGTTCGACCACCTGCCAAGTTTAGGTAGCGAGCCCAATTTTAGGATCTTCTATTTGTCATCTCTCAAATGTGTCTTATCCACCCCCAAACTGCCATATAACAGAATTTAAGAAGCAGAAAGGGCTAGAACCCCTTCTGGTATTTCTGTATTAGAAGGGTGGCATATGTGCACCAGGAATGAGCATGAATGAATTAAAAGAGGTGACAGGACAACGGTGTCCATTGCAGCAGGTGCTTCTAACATGGTAATGGGACAAGCATGACCTTGTTAACCCTTCCACTGAATTTATGTTTTGTTGGTTTTTTTTTTAGTTTTTGTTGTTTTGGTTTGGGTTTTTTTTTGAATGAAATGCCACTCAGTATGAAATCTGGACACACGCCACCCTGCTACAGCGGGGGCTTGGATCACACGTGAGTCTGCGCTGCCCTAAAAAAGCCTCTGTTCCCATCTCTAATGTGGTGCTGGAATGGTTAGTATAATTCAGTTTGTTCCACTGCAATCCACAATCTGATTGGTTGGCAGGTCACACTGGCACTCCTACCTGAGGTATTTTAGCGCTAATGATTGGTTCCTGTAAGACTATTCTATAACAGAACACAGGAAGAGCAGTTCAAAAAAACACAGCTGTGGAAAGAAACAATCATACAAACAGCCCGCAGCGGGGCTCACCAGCCTTTTCTTTCCAGTGGATGCAAGCACGCTTTTCACAGGCAGGAGCGGTCTTCGCATGGGTGGGTTTTTTGGGTTTCCCCCCCACCACCCAGATTGACCCCATTGTAGAAGAAAGATAACCTTTCTTATGATCCGAAATGAAGCCCTCTGCATCCTGGGGCAGGTTGTTTTATCAATTCAGGTGTCTTGCCAGAGTGGGACGCATCCAACAACAGATGGAATGCCTTCTTCATAGAAGAAATGGCTAGCAGGATGGTTGCCCCAGGAAAGAAAAAAGGAGTGAGGAAAAGGAGGAGGAGGAAAATGAGAAATCGGTGCGTAGCATATATGCAGAAAAAGCAGCCCAAACTTGGGACACTTCCCTTTCATCTTGCCTATGACTAACCACTCCCTGCCAGCTTAGCTCCTTTTTCTACCCTTCCTTCACACAACCCTGTGGGCTCAGGTGTCCTAAGAGAACCTCAATTTAACTTCCCCCCAGTCCTAACTGAAGTATCCTCTGCCATCCCTTCCAGAATCTGGACAAGTCTATCACACCAACCAGAGGGATGGAAGCACTGCAGTGAAAAGCATGACAAATCAGTGGGGCACAGGGACACTGCAATCATTCCACCTGTGACAAAGAAATTGTTTGGAAAGGCAATTTCAAGTTTGGATTATGATAACTTTTTCCTGATCTCCACTGGAGGGCTTTGAGCAGCAATAACATACAAAAAAGCACCACCATCTACCTTGATGGAGTTCCCTCTTCTATCAGCCTGCTTTCTTACAGAGAGACCATAGCCACCAACAGCAGTCATCAGAAGTCCACCTAATGGTTCTAACCTGACTTGGGGGCTTGCTTTTGTGTTACGTGATGGTAGTGCACTGCAGCACCAAGTCGTTACGGGTATTCTTCATTACTGAAGTCTCTGTCCTTAAAACATGTTAAGTCTCTCTCCCCACCTGCAACAGAAGCTCTGAAGGAGCTTTCTCAAAAGAAGCAGGGAGTAACCCTGGCCCGTCTTTCCTTTCAATGTGGCAGACTCTTATACACCACACTGAGGGAAGAGGCACTAAGCATCACTCATTTTCTTGGTTACTTGCTGTAGCAAAGTCAGTGGTGGGTAAAGTTAGTGTTTTAGGCGTGAAGCAGGAAAACCCAGAATCTTCTGTTGTCCTTGACACAGTTTTATAAAGAAACACTTGACTAGGCAGATCAATTTTTAAAGGACTGCACACATAACAGTATATGTAAGAATGAAGAAATGCACCCAGTATCTCTATGCTCAGAGAGCACATCTTCCAACTGGTGTACCTGGGCTGGGAAAAACACCTCTACAAGACTTGATCCTCTACATAAGCCAACAAAATCCAAAAGCTAGTTCCATCCATTATCCTGAGTCTAACCCCAGGATCCTCTTTATAAATGTCAGGAATAGCACCTTCAAAGGAATGGGAATGTGAAATTCATGCTGACAACTGTGTCACTACCCAGTACAAAACTTCCCCAGCTCCAAAGAGCTATGACCTACAACATCACAAAAGGAAACTCCGCTAGAGCTAGGCAGGCCACAAGTTGCAATGGCAGTAGTGAACCTGAACATATTTGCTTTGAAAGGCATATTCCTGCTCTGCAACAGCTCTCCCCCTCCCACTTTTCTCACTGGCCAGTTCGAATACCTCCATCTACAACCCACCTAGGTAAACATAGATGCCCTGGAGATTTGCAATACAGACTGACTGGGTAGGACAAAGACAATGACAGGACAAAGTCTCCCATGGTATCACAGCTAATTCCCAGACAGGAGGAGGCTGCTGACTCTTGTAACCGAACATCTCAACATATTTGTACTCTACGATTCCCCAAAGAGATGAGAGAATCTAGCCTATTTAGGTACCATTTCTACTAGCAAAATCAGATGTCAGTTTTCACTCTAGCATCTCAGTCTCCATTTTTAATCAGTCCCAGTGTCTTCCCCAAAGGGAAAATCTCCACATCCCAGTGGCACATGAACATTTTTAAACATACAGCTTGCTCAGTTTAGTGTGGGCTGCACAAATCAAACCTGAAAGGGTCCCAAGAGGGAAGAGAAAGGGGAGGGTGAAGGGGGAGAAGGAAAGGGAAGGTCTGAGGCTAAACCAGTCCTGTTATTTTTGTATTCAAATTATGAGAGAAGTGTTGAGAGAAATTTTAATTTGCTAGTCGTCTCTCAGGCTGATTAGTATCAGTGTGCGTGTGGGGGACAGGACACCCAGTGAACTGACCCTGGCAATGATCAGGAAACCCAAAGGCTTAGGTCTTGCACCCAGGGGCAAGCGCAGTGACAGAGAAGCATGCTTGCATTCCTAAATATATAAATATATATATCCACAAGGAAGAAGAAAATTAAAGTAAATGATATTTAAAAAAACAAACCAAACCAAACAAACAAACCAAAAGAAAAAGAAAACAAAACAAAAAAAGGCTGGCTTGTCAGGGGTCGGGGACGAGAAGGCTCCGGTGTGTGTACTTACATAGAGGTCAGCACCGTAAAATCCGTCCTGGTAAACCACACTGCAGAAAATCCACACAAAAACAAAAAAACAAAAAAACAAAAAACAAAAGAACAGAAAACACATTCCGGTTATTGAGGACGGCAGCATGCACATGCGTTTTACACAGGCAGGTGATGTATGAATCCACAACCTGGGCTTTTGGCAGGAGCAAATCAGCAAGAGAATGTGTGTGCGCACGCACGCTAGACGGCTCCAAGTCATCTTCCATGGCATGCAGAGGGGGAAGGGGCGGGCAGAGGGGGAGACAGTATGCGAAGGAGAGAGGGAGGGGAACCACCATCTTGTACCATAAATATAGACTCAAAAAGATTTGATGTCCTGAAGAAGAGAAACAAGGGTTTAGAAACCTCCACTCTTGGTTATTTTCCTGGAATGAGTTTAGTTACCCCCTAAGCATGTGGAAACATTGGCTTCCTGAAGTGGGTTTGTGAAATTGAGGAGCCCCTCAGAAGGCATCCCACGGGGGCTGGAATCACCTATGTCAGGAAGTGTGGTTCAGAGACTTGTGCCTGATTACATATTTCAGGCTTCACAGGGCTGCATGACTTTGTTTCTGACATCCATACATCACCTGCTTTTACCCTGCACATTAGACATGCGATAAGATTTGGCTGATCACACAAGCATGCAAAGTATTATTATTCAGCATCTTAAAGAACCGATGCAACACCTCAGGAAAACAAGTCAATCAATTTTGATCAAAGTAAACACAGAGAAATGTAATTGAAAAGAAAAAACCAAAAATACCCACAATGCATTGCTTTCACAAGCAGAGATAATGAGCTAAAAAGGTTAGGTGACTGGTCCAAGGTCCGAGAATTGAAAGGTGCAGTGGGAGTCCCTGGTAGTAACAACCTATTCCATAGCAGAAAGGAGCAACTGGAAGGGTTTCCATGGGATGGTGCTTTTTCTGCGTTAAGCCATAGTTTTCTTTCTCTCAGAACTTCAAGCAGGAAAACTGTTAAACAGAGCCTGGGGTTCCCAAAGAGCTGCTCTTACCAGAGCATTCACTAGCTTAAGACTATGCAGCTCGCTCTGGGGACAGGGGTTGGGGAAGGATGAGGAAGGAAGAGAGGGTATGCCCCCCACCCATTTGAGTTCAGCGTGTGCTTCACATACTGAGGAATTTCCTCCTGCTTTGTCCTCTCAATAGCTCCGCACAAACTTGTTCAAGGCTTTAAAAAGCATTAGCCCCACCATCTGTGATGTTCATGGATCTGATGTGTATGACTTACCCATAGCATTAAGGAAAAAGAAGGTATGGAACACTAGCTATTCTTTTGACTATTATTTTTTACTTATCAGATGAAATGTGAAATGCTGCCAAGAGCCTGCCACCCTCAGACACCCACCTATTGTAAGGCACACACACGCAAAAAAAGCCCAGCAGATCTTGCCAAAATTCTGCATGCTATTACTAAAAAATAAAATAAAATTAAAAAAAAATCTTGCCATGTTAGCTACTGCTTGAATAATTTAGTCTTGCTGTCTTCCCCAGGAAAAGTACACTCCATTCCCAATGGACAAAGTTACTGTAGTCTCCAAGAGCGCTGGGAGCAGGTATGAAGATAGAGACCCTTGTTAGAGGAAGAGGGGAGCCACTTCAGCAGGGAGAAGCAGGCCATAAGATCATGTTTGTTGAAGCTAAATTTTTACAACCACATAACAAAGAATTTGGCTCCTGGGGCAGTGACTTACATTGCTGGGTTCTCTATCTAGGACCAGGAGTGTTTTAGCAGTGATACTCCACCTGCTCCTGCAGGAAAGGCAAACGCATGACAGAGGAAGTGACTTGGTTTATGAACAGGTTATCAGTTTTAACAGTTATTCTGAACACAATCAGTTGGATGAATATAAGCATTACCACATTGGATCAGGCCACTATTTCTGTCAGCAAGAAATGCTAGCATCAGCTCTCCAGAGAAAACTGCAAGGAACACTAATAACAGGTAAGAGTAAGACTTCCTGGATCAAAATAACCAAGCACACGTGCATCCTCCATCTCTCCTTTAGTTAGGACTTGACTGACATCAACTCGCAGGGTTGAAATTTAGCAAGGTTTATTTATATGCTAGAATATCCATATTTGTTGCTTCTTAATGCTCGCAAAAAACTGAGAGAATTCCATCATTTGAGAACCACAGAGGCCATTCTGGTAATGTAGCCTGACCAGAAACATAAAGCAGTCCAGCAGCCCATCAAATCTGTGTCATCTGCAAAAAACACACTAACTGAGCTAAAACACATCCACGGGAAAAAGAATTATGTTGGTTTTGTAAAGCAGCCAGCATATCATTTAGGTGTACCAACAGTTGACTGTGCTGTAAAAAGAACCAAAAAACCACTCCAAACCCGCAAAGCTCCCTGCTGCCTTGTACCTAGTCTTTTATCTGCTGTGGCTTTGAACCTGTGAATCCTCTACATATTTACACTCCTAGACTAAATTACTCTTTACTAAGGCAAGTCCACTCTTCATATAGGTACTTAATGACCACGAACAAGTCAAAGACTAACCTACAGTTTGAGAAATAAAATTTATCAAGCTTATTTAGCTTTCAGAGTTTTACAGTAGGCAAGTTTTTTTCACACTATCTAAATTCTTACAGCTTTTGGTCTGAAGTGTAATTTGTCAGCATTCTCATTTAAAAAGCGTGGCTGCTACAAATCAGGGCAATATTCCAGTACAGTTCTTACTCATGCTATATATCAGAGGTCTCCTTATTTCTACTGAGTGGTATCTCAGTTATAAACTGAAGGTGGCATTTGTATTCGAAGTCAGGCTCAGGTGACTAACACCATCTCCAAGAGTCTAAGCAACTGCTTCCTGAGATAGGGATAGCCTTCCCTGGATAAACATCCATGTCCATACATAAGTATGGAAATTCCAATTACACACTGGTAAATCTTAGTTTGAGTTCTTGAAATAAATATTAAATCATTAAGAGCTATGATTTCTTGCACCTTCCTCTGGTCTAGCACTTGACACTGTCAAAACTTACTCTAACCTGAATGGCCCTCAGGTCTGATCCAGTATGGCAATACCAATGAGCTTTTATTAATCTATATTCTGTGTTTTTTAAATTCTGCTAAGCTCTCAAATGCAGTGATACCATTAAGTTTTGTAATTGAAACACCACTGAGGTTTGTGAAAACCAATTCCTTCCACCAGGTTTGAGTTAACCTGCAGCTTACTTTACCGTACTTCCACATTACTCACTATGTCTTGGTCACTCATGTGTTGCTGACTGATCTTGTAGTGTCATCTTTCCACTGGCCAGGAAGAAACTAACTGATGCAGGGCAAGGTGTCAGGAACATGTGCCTGTCCCTGACCTCATGGAGGTCAACAGTGCCCACATGGAGCAGTGGCTGTCCAGGTTACTGCAACATGGAATTGAATAGCACATTTTGTATGATTCCACTAGGAAACAAATTTGGTCTACAAAATATCTTTTGGAGACTCAGACTATGATGACAAAAAACACCAGCAGTTAATTACACCCAAGTGCTTGGACTAGGGACAGTCCTGGGCCATCTGTGAACCTGCCTTGCTTCCTGCTGCCCTTGTCAATGTTTACTACATAGTGTCCTGCCCATGAAGACATGGAATCAGTCAGCACAGTCAAAAAACTCGATGTAATGTAAGTAAATACAGACATGAGACAGTATTTGGGATGGCTAATAAATGGAGCCTGGCCCACATTCCAAATGGAAATAAACCTTTTACAGGGACTCAGGCTGGATTTATATCAAAGACAAGCCCTCCCAGAGCCCCACTCACGACAGCCTCTTGCTAGGAAAGCTTAGCCATTACTCCCAGGGATGAAGAGCACATTTCCTCTCCCTGGTGCAAATGTTTCATATTCTGCTAGACGGCAGCACTTAGCTCAGCTTTGCTTCTCTGTTAAGCTGTGGAGCACTTCCTAATAAAACTTGACTGGGTCATTTTTAGAGCAACAGACAAGTTGCAGGTCAGAGGTTATGTTTAGGGGATAACATGAACTAGAAGCGGTAGAAAAAAGAGGTGGATCTGAAAACCCAGAAGAAACACTGTTCAGAAGACCAACATTCAGGCAGGAGGTTTCATTTAAAGTCTTCTGGTGAATTAAATACAAACATCGTCTAGCTTTGCTCTCCAGCAAATCTGGCAGACACATGACCACTGCAGTTTGCTTCCTCGAGCTCTACTTTAAATATCAGACGGGACTCTAAAAAGAAAGAGCCACAGAAGCTCTCACCACTTATTCTGCTATAGAACGTACTGTAAGTTTATCAGGCCAGTTCCCTGCACTGATGTGTGTGAATTCCACCTTTCTTTTTAATAAAAGATTTGTGATTTATTTTCTTCCCTTTTGGGCCTAGTCTAAAGAAAAAAAAAAAAAGTCAATCCACTTCTCTGTCTCGGAGGATTCATTCCTACTCCTGTTCTTTCTGAGAACATGGCCTGGAAAATATGGCAAGTAAAACTCCAGAGACAATATGAATAAAGCATCCTCAAAATCAGAAACAAACAAAAAAAAGACAGTTTGGAAGGGATTTGCTGATTTATCTGTCATTCCATCACATTTACACAAACCAACAAAAACCCCAAACAAACTCACATACGGACCTAGTTCCCTGTACTTTTAAACAGCGGAATATTCTTTTGTAACAGCATCTATTCCACTGCATTACTAGTGAAAAGTCTGAGGGCAAAGAATGCTAAGGCCATGCATTCACTGCTGCTTCATTGCACTTTTATCTTCCCTACATCCCAAACACTCCCAGCTTTAAATTAATGGACTTGATTAATCTTTGTTTTAAACCTTTTTAAACCGTCTCCAACAAAGAAAGCAAATCCATTGTGGGTAACTGGCTCTTCTGTGTCCTACTGCCAGATGGTGAGGCATGAAGGTAATGGATAATATTCCTCAATCCGGGATACGAAAACGCAAATGGAGTGCAAAGAGCAGAACCTTTTCAGGAATTTTAGATCTTCTCTCTTTGTGTCCTTCTCAGCAGCACTATAACATTTGGGTCAATGGATGACAAACGCCCCATAGACAAATTGAGAAATTATGAGAAGGAATTCATCAGCGCTTGAAGCTGTCACAAGTACTGAAAATTGTTTCAATCAAAAACTCAACACAGAAAAATTTAGATTTGCCCCCACTGGATTCCATCATGTGCAGAATGCTCTGGCACTAGCAATATCTTGACTCTCACCATCCAGACAATTTTAGGGTTGTTTTGTTAACTGATTAGCTATTTGACACAGTTGTGCAGAGCACTCTGCTCTTGTGACCTGTGCTTACCCTGGGTAGGCAGGGATGGCTGTGGGAGGTACCGCCCGGACTGCCCCATACACTGTCCTTCCTCGGCCCCTCAGATGGGCGCCCCGAAATGCGGCTGCTGTGGTGGCTGCAGTTGGATAGGGGAAGCCTGGAACTGTAAAGACAGACAAAGTGGAAGGTGAAAAGGATCTGAGGTCTTTCCCAGAGAACAACCACCTGCTTCAAACAAAGTGACACAATAGCTCCACAGCAGTGGGACGTTTTGCATCAATCCTGCAGAGGGACATGCTTATAACCCAGCAAGCATCCCATACAGACTTCCTTCTACACCATGGCCCTTTGGGGGGAGAAGGGTCGCAGAGAGGTTTGGCATGCAAGAGGTTAATGTTTTGGCATGTCTTACCCACCCCAAACAGGGTTCAAATCCCCCCACCTTCTGACACCGCCATGCAGTCTGGTTAGAGTCTGAGAAGCGCGGGGAGTTACTATCAATACAGCACGCGGTTCTTCCAAAACTGCAGAGGCTCTTTAAAATAATTGGTCAAGAGGCCCTTAAAGTCAACCAACTTACATCAGTCTCTTCCCTCCTTTCCCCTCCCACTCTTTGCCACCCAATCCTCTGTATGTTCATTTTAAAGCCTGAAAGACAAGATAGCCCATATAACAGCAGCAGAAATTTCCCATAAAGTGCCAGTTTACTGAGAGCCCACCTTCATTTAACAAGTGTGACCAATAACCAGCACCACATATAGTGATGCCTATATTACACTTTAAACTGGAGTAAACTGGCTCGTGATGAAATGACGTAAAACCTCACAGGCATCTGCAAACATGTAATAATCAGATACCAAGAGGGAACGAGTCCCAGGGCACAAACCAAACCCAACCCAACGTGCGTCCAGGCACATGCCACTAGGGGCCCTGCAGACTCGCGGTTTAGCAGCTTGTATAATATGTACTTTAGGGATTTGTCTGTTTGGTTTCTTCGATTTCTAAAGCGGGGGGGGGGGGGCAAGGGAATGGCCTATTGCTCACACACACCCTCCCCTTGTTCTGCAGCTTCCTTGTTGTTCAGAAAGACACATTCAGTAGTACAGCAACACACTGCAGATGAACAAGTTACAGCAACTGCACAGTATACTTTGGCTCAAGGTGAACTCATTCCCAGTGAGACCCATCCTTTCAAGTATATATTATACAGACTGGAGAGAAGAAGGGTAACAGGTTAACTCAAGCACAGTAACAACACAGGGGTCAACGGGGGTTACTTACTGATTAAAGGAATGTAAGTGTTAATACCCCCCCTTCCTGAGAGGGGCACTGCGGCGTCATTGCCGAGCGAGACATCTGCTTGAAAGCTGGACGCTATTTTAATTTTAAAAAGAATAAAAGAAGAAAAAACAAAACAAAACCATAAAAAGGTTATAAAGAAACAGCAGATTAAGAACATAAACAAACACCACTGCAGTTAAATGGCAGAAGTGGAAGTGTCTGCTTAAGCTCTACCTGCATATAACTCAGGGCCGTACACCGCTCCAACCACAGGACTCAACTTCCAACCTGAAACAACAAAGACTGCAGTGAATGCCAAAATCTACACCAAGAGAAGGAACGGGCAGCATGGGTAGGGGGAACGGTCTCTTGCATGCGGCCCCAGCTTCACATGCATAGCTCTTTCCAATTTCTGCTTCGCCTCAATCCTCCTTGGTGTAGATGGAGGCCAACTGCCTTTTTCTAATGTCAAGTTCTAGGTACAGGTCGCTGTATCAGAGGGAACAGCAAAACATCAGCTGACCCGCAGCACAGCAGAGGCACCGCTGAGGGAACGCCAACTGCCTTATACGCATATTCGCCGTGAGCACCATGCGACCTGGCATTCCCTGCTGAACCTTGCTGCCAACTCCTCCCTCCTTCACCAGGAACACCGCAGATCCAAGCCCTCTCTAAAGCCACTGGCCCAGACTGTCATCTCAGGCAAGTCAACCTATAGCCTTGAATTCTCAAAACACCGTTCTGTCTTGTTTCCTAGAGAACTGCTGAAAAATAACAGTGTCTGAATTTCCTCAATAACTGCATTACACAACTATGGTTCATAAAGCCTATTAGCATTCTGTTCATCTCACATTTTCTTCTCTCTGTTATTTTAGTATTTCCTGTCTTCTTTGTGCTGCTTTTCAGGTGAAAGCCTTCACAGAGAATTGATTTTAATATAATCAGGATAATTGGCAAGAACTGCAAATCATCAACATAAGATGATTCCCTACAAGAGAATAGGGTTAAAAAACTATGGGTATGAGGAGGAACATATTTCCAGTCAGATCTAGAAACCTATCTGTCCTTTTCCCCTCCATCTCTCCAATAGGGGAGAGAAGGGGTGTAAAGCTAACAACATAATCTGGTTAGCTTCCACAAAGCATTCCTTTCAGGAAAGATCTCAGCTGTTCAGCTAGGAATCACACAGGCTTTATTATTTAACTAAATCCATACCCTTCCTCTCTCTTGGAGCCCTGGTGCACTTACTGAACTTTAACACCTCAAACCACTCTAGAAATCAAACTTAGAGAACTGCAGCCCATCAACACCACCCCTTCATCTGCTGGCAGGTTATCAATGAGAGATGCAGTGCAAGCTCCCTCTATAAGAACAGGCAGGCTTCTGCTGCACTGCCCACCTTGATGGCAAAATACTCCAGTGGCTGCAACAAGTGGACTGGGAATCAACTCTCAAATTTACTAACAGTTGTACACCCACTTGTCAGTATGCCCTAAGCCTGGCCTAATACTAAATACCTTTGCATAGCTTTGAAGTGGGCTTTAAACTGCTGGTTGCAAAAGCAAAATATTCTTGCCTCTTATCAGTTTCACAAGTACACTAAGTTTTGTTACCAGTCACATGCATGACACTTTAGGCCCTTGTTTTCAGGACAATATAGCACGGCTGCATTGCCTTTTGCTACAAAATCCTTTCAGGTACTGAAACTCAGAATCCCAGCCCTTTTGCCTGGCCCTGTTTCCCCAGCTCTGCACCCAAAATCAGATTTATTTGCCAGGAGTCACTCAACAGGTCAGCAGCAGAGGCACATATAAAATTTTTATCTTCTGACTTCAGAGCCTTATGTTATAATCAAAAAAGGTTTTCACACTAGCAACTAACTACCTGTACACAGTTTCCTGCCTTGCTGAAGCTGTTTGGGAACATTTTCAGACCAAAAAGGACTTGCCTGCCTGTTTCAAGACAAAGACTCAGATTCAAAATCTTTATCAAAGCAGCATTCATTTCTGCCAGGAGAACGACTTTTTATGCTATATATGCCTATGCAATAAAATTACTGTACAGAGAACCACCAAGATATCCCGATGAAACAGGATTCTTCATTATCCAAACAACTTGGCCTTTCTCTATTTAGGTTCACTAGAAAATTACTGAACACAAGCAAAATCTGTAACTAAAAGCGAGCACAGAAGCAGTGCAAAGCCTCTGTTTTCCTGGTTGCTTGGGGACAGCTATAGTTTTACAGACAGAACCTAAACTGAGATATAGCTAATTACGCATCTTAAGTTATGCTTCTGCATTCATATTTAGGTATCTATGTGATGGCAATATCCCACTGTACAGCATCAGTTTGCAGTAGTAGGGCAGGCAACTCATCACTCCTTGGCATCTTTACTTAGCTTGGCCATGTCGGGCATATCCCTACTTCTCTTTGTCCCCACTTCTCCATCTGGAAAATGGTATTTCTCCACAAAAACTTTCAGGTTATACTGAAGAATAAATTAGGGTTTGTGGGGTTTTGTTGGTTTCTTTTGGTCCTGAGGAGAGGTCATGACTTTTCCCTTTCGTCTTTCTTCAAACGTTTCAGCTCATCAGTAGTACAAACAGTCTCTCTTACCATTTGCGTAAGGTGTGACCATCTTCTTATTGGTCATCACTCGAGCAGTGGCGTTGTTAACCTAAAAGTAAGAAAGGGGAGGGGGAGGAGAGGGAAGGAAGCATAGGACGTTAGGGAAAATGGTGGAAAACTCAGATACCACACATACACACACACACACACACACACTATACTTCTCTGAGCAAAAAAAATTAATTTTACATTAATGCAATCTTTAAATTACTTTTAACAGTTGCCATTTAATTATAAAAGTTACAGCTAAATGTGGCATTTTAAAATTATGCATTAAACAAAAGGCCAACGAGAGTAAAGTGCAGATTCTCCACCACCCTGCCATCCTTCGGCACAAGATTATTTACAGCTCAATGATCCAAAGGGCAAAACTTGATGTTTTGTCCAGGTTCTGTTCAAGAGGCAGCAATAATTTCTGCAGCCCAGGGCAGGGGAACTGAACCAGGTGACACACAAACTGACCTGTTTCTCAAGCTCACTGCTGGAATTGGGGTCCAGCAGGTCTCTGGCAGGCATGCTTTTGGATAGAAAAAGGTGGCTTGGAGTCCATCAGCTTTAGATTTGAACTCCCAAGGCTTGAGGAAGTCTCTGGAACACCACAAACTGTTTGGATGGTCTATATTCACTGATTTCTTCCCCAAAATTTTACAATCTTTTTCCAGATTATTTTTTCCTTGTCACATATCTCACAGAGCAAAAAGAAGAAATACATAGCAGCAGACCTGAGTCTTTTTTTGGTTTTATTGTGTCCTCCACCCTCTTTGCAGAGCTCTGTATAGTTCCAAGCAGTTTGATTGCTCAAGCAAGTGGGGTGTTACCACAGAGATGGTGCTGATAAAGAAAAGATGGACTAGTTTGGAAGCCAAGTTACTGCAGCCCTGTGTCAGACAGCCTCAAAGTTCCTGCAAGGAGGGTGAAGTCTTTATGTATCATCAATAATTTACCAAAACCCATGCCAAATGCGAATTGAGGCCTGGGTGAAGAAGGAAAAAAGTGGATATAAAAATAAAAGCTGCCTCGGGCCCTTGAGACGTACGGATGGCGAGCGTACACAGGGTGGCGAGTCCGGAGCTACATTTTACTCTTGTTTCAGCCCCAAAACAATAGAAACATTACACATTTAAAAAGAGAGAATGGGAAACAACAATGATGAGACTGAAAGCATGCAGTTAAACACACACAGATAAAAAAAAGAAAAAAAAAAAACACCACAATTGATTCGGAGGGTGGGGAGGGGAGGAGTGAGGGGATAAGGTCTCACAAACAATCATTTAGATGGAGCGAGTGCCTGAAATCAGCTGCTACAGCAAAGTGCAACACAAGCACTTAAAGGAAAAATTGCCAGAACCGATCAGAAACCACCAGTCAGCAAAGAGACCAACAGCTGCATTTAACTTAGTAAAGAAATAAACTGGGGAGGGGGGAGAAACAAAAAGAGAGAAAACAAACAGTAACAGCTACAAACAGGTCTCAGATAGAAAGAGCAGCAGAAAGAAGGGGCAGGAGAGAGAGAAGAGGAAATGGGTGCATTAATAAAAACCAGCCAAACTGGAGTTCAGTAACTCTGAGTAAGATGTGCAAGGGGAAATCACCATGAAGTCAGTAATCAAACAGCTCAGACTGCTACAAAACAATATGTACATCCAAAGTCCAGGCGGCATTACTCAACAGCATTGAAAATAAAAGGGGGAGAAGGGGGAAGGAGGTGGGTGGGGACAACAAGTCAAATCACATTTCGTAGTGTTAATGTGAGATGGCAGATGGATTTTTTCTTTCTTAATTTTTTTTTGTAATTTTAAGAAAAATTTAAAAAAAAAAAAAAGAAAAAAGCTTCTTCTCTAGCACTTTTGTTTCACTTACCGCCAACTCGTACCATCGCCAGCATTGTGTATAGTTACCATGGAAAGAGTGAGTCAAGTGAAGGGCCCTAAACGCTAAACCATCGGAAAGGGAAATAAAAAAACAAAACAAAAAAAAAAGCAAAATATGCAGACATCTTACTCAAAAACGGTGGCTTTTTCTGTTTCAATATTCTTACTTTTTGGCTTTTTGTTGGGTTTTTTTTTGTTGCTGTGTTTGTTTTTTGTTTTTTTTTTAAGAAAGAGGGAGAGACGGATGATGCCAGTTAGCCTTCAACACAGTGGAACACCAAACTGGTCAATACCAGGCATGCCCAACATCTGGCCACGTTGGCCAGCCATACATTAACCCTTCCCTCCCCTGCGGCGAGAGCTAGAAGCTTTAAGGATTAGCTTTCACCGAGCCTACTTTTGACCACGGGTAGGTCAAGAAACCAGCAATGTGTATAGCACAGCCCACTTGGGGCTTCTGCCCCCATGTCTCCCAAACCCTCCCCACCACAGGCATCATCTCACACTTGCATGGAGGAGAACTGGCCTCAGAGGAAAGACAGGATACTGACTGGCCTCCTGCTTTCTTTTTTGGACACAGAGTTAGAAGTTGGACAGTACTCTTTCAGTTAGTTTTATTCAGGCCTGGTAACAGGAAATCGGAGCCTCGCAAACTGAAGCAAAGGAAAAATCAAGACAGCAGAAGGGCAAAAATTTGGAGTGGGTGGGAATAAAACACAATAAAAGAAGAAAGAAAAGAAAAAAATACCCAAAACAACAATAAAAATATTCTGTAAAGGGTGTAAACTTCTATACATTTCAGTGCAGGGAGGTGAAGGACACAGACACAAACACACACGCACACACGAGACTGGGATCCAAATGTGAAATAAGTGAGGCAAGACACAAAAAGAAATCAAAAGAATAAATATAAAGAAGAAATTGAATTACTGAAGACATGCACCTCGATTTTACGGCCCTCTACCACGGTGCCGTGTAATTTCTCCCTGGCCCTGTCTGCATCAGCACTATTCTCGAAAGTTACGAACCCGAATCCCTGCATGCAGCGGGAGAAGGGGGGAAAACATGCACATCGTTATATATTGAAATACTGATCTCTAGGTAAATAGAGAAAAAATATCACAGTATGAAATCAACATCAGCACAACTCAGCAATAACCTCCTAGAGTCACATTGTTGGTTCATGCATGTTTCATAAATGAAAGAAATTAAATTCAATAAAAAAAGGAACCGTAATCATAATAAGAATAATAAGAGTAATTAAAAAAAAAAGAAAACATAAAAGCAATTGAGGCCAGACCAAAAAAGAAGTACAAAGTTACTCGAGACAATTTTTCATTTTGTTTTGTTTTCTTTGGGTTTTTTTTGTTTAAAAACACTAAATCCTGCTCCAACATAGGCAAGCTGGTCAAGCCCAAGCAGGGTTTCTCTCCCTCTGCTAATGAACACATGCTTTGCAGGACCCCCACCCACCCCAACACAGTACAGGACATTGAGCAGCACTTTGTTCTCTTGAGAAACTGCTACAAGAACAAGCAGCAATCTGAGTTCATGCCTGGCACCAGGAAGTCTGTGAAGCTTTGGGCAAATCAAACACTGAACCTTGCTTTTTCCACCTGTAAAATGGAGACAATAATAATTACCTACCTTAGAACACTGTTGAGAGGAAGGGCTCTTTGTAAAGCATCCCTTGTAAGCTCTTCGGGGCACGCTCATGTCTACTCCTAAGCCTGTAACTTCCCTAATGACATATGAGACCCTGAAAGTAAGCAGGGCTTCTAGGTGGCACCATCAAATAACATTACTTAATGTGAAGATTTAGAGTATCACATACTGTAGCGTCAAAATCTTCCCATCTCTGAGTACTGTGTTGGACTTGACTGTAAATCTAAACACCTAAATACCAATTCATTGGTCAAGGCAGGTTTTGTCTGACACTGCTGACCCACTGCTACCTCCCTCCTACCCTGCTACCCACCTTACTTGGCTTTGTTCTGAGATGGCAACCTCTGGGTTGTGGATAGCAACAGATCTCTGCCTAGTTAGACCAGAAAGCTTCAGAAAAACTGACGTGCCCTGCTTGGCGCAACCACAAAGGCTCAAGGACTGCCAAAACGTCGCTTTAGCTGGACAAATTTAGGTTTACCGCATCCATGAAGGCACACGCAACACGCCTGTCCTACATGCTCATGCTGCTGCCAACTCGTGCAGTCGTGTAGCAGGGCAGGGTAAGAGATCATGCTTCCTTCCACAGAGATGAATGCGCTGACATTAAAAAGAGAGCCAACATGACTAAGTGAATTAGGATTTTAACTAGTAACAAATGGCATCTTAATAGGGACAACTGTGATGAGATACTCTTCATGCCATTACAGAGAGCAGACACAAACGAAAAATGTTGTTGCATTCTGCTTTTAGGGTATCTTAAGAACAGAAGTAATTGGCTCCTGTGGCTTGGTATAAAGCAAATACTGATTTAATGTACTGGTTTAATCTCCACTAGCTTCAATACCCTCAGGAGCAGAACAACAAAGCTTACATTTGATGCAATGGAAACTCACAATGTTCATTGAAAAGCAAGGTGATGAGAGTGATCTACAGCTATGCCTGTCAGGGAAATGGCATGCTAGCCACTTGGCCTCCACCATGCACCTTGGGGTCCCATATGTATGGACTGGACACCCCAAAAAACAGACAGCATAATGATTTCTAAGCATTGTTAGCAATGAGACACAAGCAAGCCATTATTCTTCAAGTGCTTTTTAAAGGTCTTTACAATACTAATCAAACAGTCCAAGCCATTTGACAAGCTGGTTTTTACAACCCACAGCTAGGTTTCCAGTACAAAACTCTTACACATTTGTAAAATAGAGGGTTGGGGTTGTTTTTGTTGTTGGTTTGTGGTTTGGTTTTTTTTGTTTGGTTGGTTTGGGGGTTTTTTTTGGGGGGGTTGGTTTGTTGTTTTTTTTTTAACTTCCCTCAAACCTCAAACAGCAGTAATAAAAAGAACTTAGCCAAGTAGTGCAATGTTGAGATCAACAAGAGTGCTCCTTTGGGCTCCAACCCAATAATCTACAGCTTCAGATAATTTCATTTCTCCAGCTATAAATAAGGAGCTATATAAATATCAGACTGATGCCTTTTTCAGAACAGCATAAAAGTTTGCTGTTTAAATGATTTAAAATCAGAGCCACAGACACAGGGGCTAATAAAACAGCCCAACTGCATATAATTCTCAAATATGTCACAGAGAACCAAAGGGGGTGCAGGGGGTGTAATAGCAAAGCTGATTATGAAGGAATAGGGTATTGTGTCTGCTTCAAAGAACCCCTACAGAGAAAGGCAAGCCTGAGAAATAGAGCAACACCTTTCCCTCTGGTTCTGTATAATGGGGAAAAAGTATCTTCTAAAGGCTGGAGGAGGAGGGGAGGTAAGGACTGCAACACGAATCTCTATTTCCCTCTTCTCTTTTTACATTAAAATTTCTGTTTGTTCTAGACAAGCCTGTGGAGACTGAATGAAATTTATGTCTTCGGTGATGATGTGAACTGAAAGCTGGAGTGCAGATGGAAGGTAATTTTTTAGACATTAAGCTGTGCAGGCTAGAACCAAACTAAGACTATTTTAATTCACATCTGCTTGCAATTAGTGAAGTCTGTATGGGTTTTTAAAAAACTACATTAGCATTAATTATCTTTAAACTGAGTAGGAATTTTCAGTATTTTTATTAAGTTGACTCAAGGTAGCATACAATCCACATGCAGACTATAGGAATATAATTAACAATGTGAATTAAACCAGAATTAATCTGATTCAGAACAACATAACTAATTAACCATATTGACAGATCAGTCCTTAGCAACTCACTTTGTTGAGAACCATTTAATGTCAATGCTGAATTAATGCTTTATATAGTTGACTATGGCAGAGTCAGTATTTGTGCCCTCTTGGTTTGTCATATTAATGCATCTCTTACACATTCAAATTTTCATCAGGAAAAACAGGTGAGCCATGCTTGACATTTTTGTTATTTCAAAGTTTAAAAACTAGCAATTATATATATATACACATATTTTTGATGTGGGAGAGAAAAAAGCACATACATATACTTTTTTTTCCTTCTCATAGATGACCTGTAAAGAATAGGGATTAATTTGTAACTACACATACACAACAAACAATTCTCAGTTTTCCCTCCTCAAGGTTGTCTTGACCTCGGAAAAAAAAAGAAAGAAAGGAGGAAGGAAAAAAAAAGAGATGGCAGGTATCCAATATTTACTAGCTTAGCTTTATAGCAGGTACTGGATTGCTCCATAGTAGTAGGTATGGAGTCAGAGGAAGGGAAGATCCTGGATAAAAAAAAGACTTAGGGCTTCTAAAATTTAGATTATACAAATAGCTTGGGTTTAATAATGCTGTTATGATAACAAGGCTGAAATTTTCAACAATTCCTCCCCATCAGTAACTGCCATGAACTTCTCCCAAGCAGAAAATAAGTTTGACCCAGCGAACACTAAACTCCAACAACATTTTTAGGATTAGTGAGTAATTTGCAGTACCAGACTAACCCCTTTTTACCCAAAGGTTTATTGAAAGGGCCTGAAGAGACCGAGTAACTGCCACCCTTTTAGTCTGGCCTCAGACTCTGCAATAAATAACAAGCAACATGATGAGCAGTGAAAAAAAAAAATAATAAATGTATATATAGTATTTGAACGTTTCCATCTCTGAAGAATGAGAAAGAAAATTTACCATGTAACCGTAAAGGGAGAAATCAAAAGCAGACGGTTCTCCTGGGTGTGGCCAGAACACAGAAATTAAACAAAAAACAACAACAAAAATAAAATAAAGTAAAATAAAAAAAATAAAACCAAAGAAAACTAAACAGAGCCCCTTGAAATCCATGCACCGTTATCCCTTTGTTTGTCATGGAGTTTAGACCAGTCACCCCAGCAGCAGCATCTTTGCCTTGTACCACTGGAGCACACAGCCAGCAACCAGCCTTGCTGTCATCTGCTGCTGTGCTTGGTTCAAACCAAGTTTTTTTCTTTTGTTTCTTTTCCCTTATTTCCATAATAAACAAACTTTTAGAAGCCTGAAAAAAACGGCCAAAGAGGCAGCAGTTTAGGCTACCTGTTTGCAAGACATTTGGAAAGACTAGGAGGGTTTCAGCTGTAATCCACCTGAGATGAGCAGGACTGAATGCACCGACAGCATCACACCAAAAAATCCAGAAAACATGTTACTGAAGTCACACACACAAACGCACTTCAATTGGTGAGAATCAGCATAAAACAAGCTGCCACCATTTCAGCAGCTCTTCCAGATCCTCCCTGCCCTGTGCCTCACTTCGAGTGCATTAAAGCATACGTGTAAAACACCCATCCGCGTACCTGTGTGATCTGGTGAGGCAGATACAGGAATTAATCTGGTTAAAAAAAATGTAAATGTATCTTCAAAAAAACCCTGCAGGGCTATTTTTAAGCTGTATCATTTCCACAGTCCAGCTTGTGTCGCTCCACTGCCGATCCCTGCTGCAGAACAGAGGAGGGGGCAGAGGCCGGCAGTGGGCAGTGGGCAGCAGGAATCCAGCTAGCACTGCTGTGCAGTGAGAGCTTGGGGCTTCAGGGCAGCTCCAGCCAGCCCAGGTCAGGGGCTTCACGGCCCACGTCATCCCTGGCTGTGTGCTGCTCCTCCTCCCTTCAATCGATCGTGGATCTCACTGTGTGGTCTGTGAGTTCAACAGGCTAAACTGGCTGAAAACAAGCTTATTTCTGTCTCTGTCTTCCTGCTGCATCAGTATTTTGCCAATTTAGCACCCTAGATTCAATTCCCTACACAGTGAAACGAGCACTACTGGGAAGGTGCTCCCACAGGAGCAGTGAAACGAGCACTACTGGGAAGGTGCTCCCACAGGAGCAGTAAGCCAGCTTATACTATGAAAACATCAAACTTCAGCCCGAAATTCAAGTTTAAATAAACCGGTTCGGTGTATGGACTAATTTAACTCGTTAGTTTAGTATTGCAGATTTCAAGGCATAAAACTACTTCAGCGAACTAGGATAAGGGGACACCAGTCACGTCTCCTTCATGCCACTGGCATTCTAACGGAATTTGGTGACCTGAGAAGGTCATGCTGGTTGCCAGTACTTAATTTGTTTTTAAGCCTCTTTGTGTTAACAACACAATTTGTATTTCTGGTTCAACTGATGAAATCTGAACAAAATTTATAAAAACAGAATTAAAATGAAAATAAGACCTCTAATTCATTTCATGTAAGAAGGGGCTTTCCACTGACAGGAAACTAGGTCCAGAACAAGAGTGGCTCAACTCAAAGCACCTAATCCATTAAAAGAGAAGTAAATGCACATGTAAGCATACAGTCTTTAAGGCTTAATTATCAAAACCCGTATTCATATTTTTATCTTAACTTACAGTTAACTGCAAACATAAAATCCCACACAGCTTCCTGCACAAGCTTTTAGTTAGGACAGGTTTACTTACATAAATCCAAACGCCAATAGATGCAATTTCTTTGTGAAGACAAGATGTAACCTACTATACAACTAAGTTTTTAATTAAATATGAAGCACTTCAAGTCACTTCAGTCCTATACAGGAACTTGAAGATATGGATCTTCCAAGTGGAAAGCAGTGAGGGACAAACTTACAGTATCCTGAAACCATGAGCTCATCTGCACTGATATGAACTCTTATGATTTAAAAAGCTACAAAAAAAAAAAACTCCCTATTCAGCTAAGATTTTGCTATGTGCTTATGCACTCTTGGTCTCTGAATGTCATCGAGGACACATCTTGGAATGCCACATGGTACACAGCTGATGAGCAAAGAGCTTGGATTCCCTTCCCCTGCAGCTTTATGAATGCCACAGGGTACTCGTTACACAGGCAGACTGCATTAATTCTGCAAATATGTCCACTTGTTCAGTTCAGCACAATAGTGATAAAATACGCATCTAGAGGATGCATCTCCACTAACAAAACGAGCAGGAATCCTCTCATCTTCCTCTGGAGGTGTTTTATTCACGGTTCAGTGAAGTGCATGGTAAACGGCAACCATGGGCAGAATGCTATTTAAAGGCACTTGATCTGAGTCAGAACTAGAAATGTAATGGTAAACAGGATAAATTAAACAAACAGCTAGTTTCCTGGAAGCAAGCAAAAAAACCTGAAACAGATCAAGGGAAGACTTATTCTTGTTTAATAGAATGACATCAAACAAAATTAAATTCAAGGGATGTTTAAAGTTTGTATCTTCTTTCTCATACACAACAAAGCAATATAAGTGTAAAGTCTGCCAGGGCCCATATAATCCTACTGAACAGATTGAATCTGGGAAGAAATTGAGTTACAAAACAAGAATTCACATTGCTTTGAAAGAACAATCAGCAAAACTAATTATTAACTGCCTCCTACTCTGCTGTGATACAGAAAATCAACAAATAACACTTCTGAGAGAACCTGAGGCTGTGGTGGACACACTCTGCTCTCTCTTTGGTCACCAAACTTCCTAAGTACACAGAGATCTTGAATATGCAGCCAGTTTGATAGTTCTCCCAGGCTGTCGAAGAAAACTGCCCAGTCATCTCAGGTGGATTCAAAAGGAAGAATGCAACCAGCACACTTCCTTCAGTCCCTCCTACCGACCAGCACTGGAGTGATCCCAGCAGAGTTCTCCTGCTACAGCTTGGCAGGGACAAAGCGCTGCTCGACCCCATCGCACTCTGGGTGGGGACGAACCCAGGGCAGTTTAGGATTCATCACTGTACCTTTTAAATATTTACAAAACATATACACAAAACTCTACAACCCTTAGGAACCCAGGGAAGGGAAGGGAGCATTGAGAACACAGCACAAGGCAGGCAGCAGGAGCATCTGCTTTCGGATTCCCAAGAGAGAGGAGGAGAAGAAGAAGAGAGAGAGGTTTCATATCATTAGATTAGAATGGAAACCACAGGGCAGGAAAATGCATTCAGAATTTTTTTCCTAAGGTGGAGGAAGAACCCAAGAGTGAGTGAGCGGCCTCCAGAAAGATCCATTTCCTTTGCTTCACCATCAGATCACCAAACTGTTGTTTTTCCATTATTATGTGAATACCAGGTGCTTCGTGCAGCTACACCCCACTCAAACACTGGGGCCTCCCATTTTCATGCTAAGCAGGAAGAATCTTGCATTCTTTTTAGAACAGGAATTACTTTGGGTAGAGAAGGATGCAGAGATACCATGAAATAACTCTTTGGCTGTTTTCTCATTCTGTTCAGATTCTGCCCCATCCCTCAATACAGGCTACCAGTTTTGTAACTGCTTTTTGCTGTAAGATGCCAAGCAGTAGAAAACTGCATGGTCAAGGACTGGAAGAACATCTCTGCTTTTTTTTTTTTTCCCCAAATATTTATGAAGGGTTCAGAATAAAATTTGTCATGGAACTCTTCAGCAGTAATTTTTGTTTTAACTGAAAACCGGAAGCCTTGGGCTTTAGCAACTGCACAAGAAGGTACTTTTTGTAATAATAAATCAAGTCTTCATAGAAAAGTCTTCAATGTCAATGTTGCCTAGAAGGGAAAGGGCAGCCGTGGGTGTTTAATACACAGGGCTATATGGATGGGAGAGAGAGAGTGAAGTTCATGTGTGGAGAGGAAAAACACTGCTCTGGAAGGCACAGGCAGTGGGGTATGAAAGACAGAGCTCACCCCTTTGCCAGGCCAGTTACTTTTGTTCTTTCTTTCGCAATAATATCCAAATAAGTAGGGATTTGATAGAGGCCAGAGGCTATTCCCAAAGCCAAACAAAATTTACTAAAATCAAGAGTAATTCAGAGATAGCTTTGGCCTATAAATATCAAAAGAACAGCAGAGTGCAGAATAAATATTTACAAACTCAGCACAGCTGATTGTTTTGGTAAAGCATATAGATTTTTATCCATTCGTGGAAGAAAAACACTCTAACTAAATCATATAGATATTTACTTTTTCAGACTGTCTTGTAAAAAATCAAAACAAAAGAAAACCATGGTATTAAGCACAAATAAAGGATGGGAAAAGGGCTAAGACTCATTTATTTAATATAGAGATCAATGGCTTTCTGGTTTCCAGCTAATACAGAGACTGAAGAATTTCAGAATGCATGTTGGGCAACATGGGTGGAAATTTGCAGAGAACTCTGAACATGAACATACCCCAGAATATATGTTGAAGCAAAGAGGCCACCATAAAGACTGTGAACCTCAAATCCAAGCAAAAGGTATAGACTGTAAACTGAAACTGCTTAGCTGATTTGCAACTTCAAAACTTCTTGTGTGCATGCACACATGTGCACACACGTGTGTGTGGGGAGGAGGGAAATTTTGTTTTAATTGAAAATGGGAATCTTAGCATTGATTAAGTCAAGCAGAGTATAGACATGCACTGTGCAAGCTTCCCCCATAGAGCTTTGGCAATGCACCTTGCTCCTGACCTGCAAAACTCCCTGCTATTCCAGTGCTGAACCTCCTGGGCAGAGAGAGAATCACATCAATTTGTCATTGTGGTGATACCGCTTATGTGATGAGAACCAATTGCCAATTAGGACAGAGATCACTGAATATCTCTGCAGCTGACCTAAGCAACATCTGAAATCTCATCTTCAGAGAGATAAATTACCATTAACCCTCAACAAAACCTCCCTCTTAATATATCTGTAAGATGAAAATAGGTGTATGAATGCAAATTCTGTGGGGGAGGTCCACATGGGGCAGGGCAAGTGGAATGAGGATACTTAAATTAAGCATCAAATATCTCAAACATGAAAGGTCAGTGCCTCAGAAGCACCAAGTAAGTCTACAACACAGAGTAAATAAAATCCTTTCACATATGAGATATGACAGTTTTCTACAGAAGTATTTTAATGCAATGAAATGGGGGGATGGGGGTGAGTTAGCTTTTTTTCTTACAGTCTCCCATCACACAAAGCTGCTTTATCTTATTCTGCCTTCCCCACGGGGCAGCCATTGCTAGTGCAATGGGAACAGCTTGGTATGAAGGCTCAATTGACTGACTCCCTGTTTGTTCAAAAGGCTGTGGAACCTGATCACACATTACAGAGAGGAGTGTCCAGGAGCATTTGTACATGCTGCCCAGAATTGACCATGCCCAGAGTCTCCAGTCAGAGGGAACAGGAGACAGTCCCCAAAATAGCTCTTCCCTTCCCCCATCACACTAATCCCTGCTGATCTCTACAGAATATATTCTCTAGGCAATGAACTGCCTTTTACTCTGCAATCAAATCAAGAGAAGCGGGTACAGAAACAGGACTTACCTTCGAGCCACGCTCATTAAAGATTATCTCTACATCAAGGATTTTGCCGAATTGCTGCAGAGAGACAAGGGGGAAAAAAAAGATTTATTTTTGGCAATTCATTTTTTCTACCTTTTTGGACCTGGCTTAGTGCAAGAAGGGAGGTGAGAATATTTCCATTTCTAGCATACAGGCAAAGGAATAAAATCCCAGTGACGTGACCCAATTCTCTTGGGTTAAAACATGCAGATCCTCTTGGTAACAAACCCCAGGTTTTCTCACAAAAGTCTACAGGAAGAAAAACAATCTCCAGAAGAGTTTCAGGGATTTGAGGTATCTCATCTTTCCTGCTTTTAATCTAAACAATTCTTTCTTCCCTCATTCTACTATTTCATCTACAACATCTCAGGCATCTAACAACATTTCTAACATGTAATTCAGCATTTCAGCTTCCTCCTGAAGTGGCTATCACAAAGAGAAACCTAACAGTGATGTTTCTCTGGAAGGGACAGTAACATAACATCCCAACCTCAGAGATTCCAAACTCTGAATCTCCTTTCCTCTTATTTACCAAAACTCCAAGCCTTTAAAAGAATTGATGGCAGATTCAGAAACCACAAAAATGGCAAACTCCCAACAGTTTGTTTTTCAGAAAAAAGATAATTCAGCTTCAACCTGTGACATATTGTTGATGGTCTGTGCAAGTCTACCACATGTGACAGAGTTCTGACCTCTGTCTCACCTTGGAGACCCTAAGGAGAGCTTTGCTCTGTATCAGTGGGTTCAAAAGAGCTCCCTATTTAGCACAGAACACAAAATGGAAAACAAGAGTTACAAGGTAGAAAGGAGATTTACCACCTCTGTGGAATTACATCTTTCATCTTGCTTGAAACATATTAAAATATTTCTATTGAAGTGGCCAGACTCAAATCAGTAACCTAGAGCTAAAAGCATCATCACTTCAGAGGCCCCTCTGTCTTCGAGAATTGTCAAGGCTCTATTGCTCTTAATATAGTATTTGCCTTTTTTTTTAATTAACATTTGCATTCCGAGTCAAATAGGTATAATACTCAGTTTGTGGGAGTCCTGCTTGAAAGGCTCATGGCTAGATTTGAAAACATGGAACATTTATAACAGGGAGCCATGATGGCTGAGGAGAAGTTCTGAATATGTAAAGCAACAAAAAGCTATTAAGTTCCTTGAACAAGTATTCCACAACTGTCTGCAAGCAAGCAAACCTCTTCCAACAATTTTAGCTATAGTTTCTGTCCGCTTCCATTCTCCATTCTTAAAAAGAAGATTTTGGTTCACAGATGTTGTTTTTGCTGTTCTATTGTTTAAGGACAATACTTGATCTTCTATTCATCCCAAGAACAATTGAATTCACAATATTCCACGTTACATGAAGTTTGAATAATGCTAATGTAAACACGCATCTTCCTTGAAAGGAAACCTCAACATCTCAATAGCTTAGGCTTGATCCATGCTGGATCCTCTTTTGACTGCGGTTGTGCCAATCACCGCTAAAATACATTTTCTATTTCTATCCCACGCTTGGCGTGGGCTTGTCAATAAAGAAGATTAACCGTTGATTGCTTTTTATTGTCTTTGTTGCATATGGCTCGGGCACTGCCATGAAAGAAATCAGTTATGATTGCTTTCCTGGTAGACTATTCCAGCATCATTACATGACATGGGCTGAACCAATTTAAAAGCTCGTGGCTGCGGAATAGCTGTCTCTGCTCCCTTGTCCTTCCTTGTCTGGTCTCACCAGCCTCCTAGAGATGGCCTCAGTTTTCATTCTCACCTGTAGATAAACTGTACAGTTCAATGATTCTGTAAAAACCTAACCCAACAAAAGGAATAAATACAAAACTTTTTTTGACAATTTACTGATCTGTAGTGGCTTAAAGGGTCAGGTGAGCATCAGGGCTCTAAGAAGCAAAAGGGATCCTGAGAGCAGGATCTGTCCCCTGCCACATCACCTCAGCTGGTTAGCGTTGCCATACACACACTCAAACAGCCAGCCTCTCGATAAATGCAACTGCCAAAATTATTTTCAGAATCTTCAAAGCCAAAATCACCATTCTACCCCATTAGAATCATCCTGAAAGCAAACAAACTGTACAGCTTCTGGTGCACAATTATGCCACGCCATCTTCCCTTTTCTGCACACCCAGTTGGGCCTGGATCCCCGGGTAGTACTACCAGCACTGCCTCCCAGTCCCATTGGGCTGAGTTCCTCCCACAGGGTTTCCACACCAACAGGAAATCCTGTCTTGTGCGTTTAACTTCTTGTGGCTGACAAAATGCTGATGGTAACATTGAAAGCACGTGGTCTGACCCAGTTCTATGAGAGGCGGCAGGTTTGCCTCCTTGCCTAGCAGATGATGGAGGTACGTAATTTCCTAGATGACAGACTTAAGATCACTAAATCCTGTGGCTGCAGCAAGCACAGGTTTGACATCTATTGTAATAGGCTACATCCACCCATGTAAACTGCCCCAATCTCTTTTCTGCCTAGGAGTTGTGGGTGTTTGAAGAGGCAAGAGGGAAGGACCTCCTTGGGAGAGAACAGACAAAACAGGGGCTAACTGCTGAACTGAGGTTTGCTAGGGAGGGGCTTCCAACTCCATGAAAATCCCTGGAAGAAAGCAGCATGACCATGAGGCAGTAGGATGTGCCCTGGGCTCTTCAAGGCTCTGCTGTTGCTGTTGCCACAGTTGCTCTGACAGCTCCTAACACCATGACTCTTGTCCTCGCTGCTCAACAGTTACAGCAGATCCAGCACTGGAGGCACTTTCTTCTGGTAGCATGCCAGAATTTTCCTGAAGAATGGAAGCAGGGAAAAAAAGAACTAGTTCATTTTAACAGTGTATATCTCCTTCAAAGCTGAATCTAATTTAGTGGAACATAAAAAGGCACTTTGTTCTCCGATGGTGCTTTGCCTACCAAATGTCAACAGTGCAATGCAAACAATGGAAGTTTTAAGAGCTCCTTACTGAAAGGTCACAATTTTTGTATGGAAAATGGTGGGCCATCTAAATACAAGGGTCAACACCAAGTGCCCTCCATAATAATTTTTTTAAATCATGTATACAGGCATGTTTCTATGTTCCAACAGACAGAGGGGTCTGGCCAAATTAAACAAGTCCCATGCTTAAGTCATCCCTGAGGACTAACAGTCTAATCTCTGACCCTGAAGACATGAGTCACTGGGCTGATAGACTTGACTGGCTCATTCAGTGATTACCAAGAACTTCTGCTTAGAACCCTGCACAGCCTCTGGAGAAGGCATTGCATGCTCACCACCGTGAGTTAAAAAGCTTGCTATGTGACCGAGAATCCAGTATTTCCCCACCATATATCAGGTTGTGCAAGAAGCCACCTCCATGAACTGCTCATGCACACGCCATATGATAGAAAGATATACACACACACACTCTTCCAGTTATGCCATGGCATAGGAGCTATAGCATCTTGTTTTATCTTAGTGGTCCCTTCCCTGGAGTGACCTTGACAAGCTTTCAATTATTTTCCTGTAAAGCAGATAAATGAAAAATCAGCTCCGCTACAGTGGTAGCAGGGAGTGATGGAAGTAACAGTTTTTAAGAGGCATAAAAATAATAACAGACATGAGTTATGACCAGAATCCAGTTCTCTTGTTTGAACATCTACCTTATCATTGATGCAAGGGCATTGTGCAAGTAAAGGTATATGCATGCTGTGTGTTTCTTTCCACCCAGATGACATGAAGGCAACAGATTTTTCCAGCTGAGGCCATAGCTACATTCAGTATAATAAATTTGAGAGATCTGGCACCCGAGAGCTTTTGCCTTCCAAGGCACTGACAGTTTGGTAATGCCCCTCCTGTATGCTCTGTTCCAGCTGGCCCTGCCTCCTCTCCCTGTCTAGAGCTTTCAAAATCAGCTCCAATGTGCCAGACAAATAACTTAATCCTAAAGATGCAAACAACAGGGAGTACAAGGCAAATTCTCTAGAAATCATGGAACAACAAAAGGTAATGTAAGACACCACGTGACCACATCACATCCCTGCAAAAGAACTCTGTAGCCTTACAAAATTCACTTAGAGTCCAGTGAGCTATCTAAATCTCAAAGGTGTCAAACAATCCATTCTTAAAGATGGTCAAAATTCAAAACAGCCAGGAAACCAACCTCCTGTGCAGGAAACTATTTCAAGTCCTCAAGCTTGAGATGCATGAGCAAGAGCATTTCATAAGAAGAATAGGTCCATGCTGCAGACAGTGTCCTTTCCCTAGCTCCTAGTTCCATGGGATATACTTTCAGCTGAACACAGCTGGCTCCATCCTAGCCTGTATTAGTCAGTGCTTAATTATGGCAGCACGGGGTCTGCCAGAGCTATGCTGTTATCAGTACACGAACTTCCTCACGCAAAGCTGAGTCACATGTCTTTAAACAGTGGGGCCAACCCTGTTCAGCCAAGCTACACCAGTATGTTTTGCAGTGACAGGAAGATGGAAGCATGGAGCATTTATAGACCAAAGCACCAACACAGTTTACCAACTGAACAGATAATAAGCAAGCACCAAGCAGCCCTTATTTGGGTTGACCTGTTGCCCAGTAAAACACACATTTTCTAAGAAACCAGATTTTAACAAGAAGCCAGACAAAGAGCACAGATTTCTTACAGGATTTGCAGACCACAGACATCCCAGTAAAAAGAAAAAAAAAGGTGACAAGGAATACAGCTTCTCAGTCATTTCTTATCCTCTGACTCACAAATAAAAGATTTTCACATGAAACACTGAGACAGGGGTGAACAGTACTGGAGGGTACCATCCAGAAATCTTAACATCACCCAGCTTCCAGGTCTACACTTCCAGGTCCTTGCTGCTGCCTTGTGCCCTTCCCCAGAGGTCTGACTGCAGTGTACCTGGTACTGCTGCCACAGCAAAGGTACTTGGACCCATGCCCACAAAAGTAGCACACATTTAAAAATCAGTTTGAGAGGACTTAGCATGTAGACTGAGTCCATATGAAACTGGGTTAATAAAAGTTAACTCCATGTAATTTTACCCAGGCCTTTTACGT